GCGCACAGCAATATGGTTATTACCGGATGATATTTGGGAAGAAAGTGCTAATGGGCAATCTGGTGTTTATTTTGAAACTGCTAACAATGATTTTTCTCTGGTAAAAGGCAGTGTCTGGGCGCACGGCTGAGTGGGCTTTGAGCATGGGCTCTAACAGATGGTGCGGAGCTCGAGGTGCGGGATCGGCCCTCGGCTCCCGGCGCCCGCCGGGCTGGGGGAGCGCCGGGCTCCGAGCAGCCTCCCTGCCTGCTTCGCTGCCTCTCCTCCTGCTTCCCTGCTTCCTCCCTGCCTGCTCTCCCGCTCGCCTGCATCCCTGCATCCCTGCCTGTCCCTGCCGCAGCGCGGGGCCGGGGTGCAGAGCCGGCCCCCCGCAAACCCCTCGCTGTTCCTGAGGGCTGGGGGTGCCGAGCTGAGCCCCCGGCCCGCTCCCCCCGGGGCTCGATGCGCTCCGGCAGCTCGGCACAGCCCCGCGCAGCCGGGCGGAGGGGCCGGGGGGGTCCCCACCTCCAGGTATTGTTTTGCAAACAGAGGGGGTCATAGATGACAGCGCAGACATAACAAGGCGGCTGTGGCCGCGAGTGTTTGTTGTCGCAGCGTGCCATATAACTTCTGGTGATTGTTACTTTTCCTCTGATGAAACCACGTATTTATAAGTGATTTATTTTTTATTTTGTAGCACAAACAGAAATCCATAAACTGTCGGTTCAGCGCCATTGACTCTTTGATCAGTTACTGGGCTATTTTTTCTCCCTCTCCCGTCAGCGAGGAGAGATTAAAAGCCTTTATTTTCAGCCCTTTTTCTGCTGCAGAGGTACGAGCCGAAGTGGACAATAAAAGTGCTCTTCAAATGTATTCTCTCTGCTCCTTTATTCGGCGCTAACGAAACTTATAGCTGCCTATGTCAGCCTCTTAATTACACTACTACAGCGATTTCCGAAAACATTTAGCCGCTGTATACAAAGGAAATAAACCCACATTGTCAACTCGAGAGCGCTCCGGAGTTTAAAAGGCTGCTCTGTAACCCAGCGAAATAATTATTGAAGGGTACGACGCCTCCGTCTTTGTCAGAGTAATTGTACTTGGCCTGTCAGCTCTGCTTTTCTCCGGGAGGAAATCCCACTATTTTACTCGTGGAGGCGTTTAGATCCGAGCCGGGTTGAGGCAGCAGAAGCAGAAAGTTTCTGCGGGGTGGCAGCGCGGCCGTGCGCGCAGCTTGCGCGGGGCCCACCCTGACCCGGGGGACTCTCCTGCCCCTGCCTCGGGGGCTGCAAARTTCCCAAAAATAATGGATGTGGGCAGGCTGGCCTCGGCCGGCAGYGTAGAATAGGCAGCGGTGTTACAGCCCGGCAGACTGGGGGAATGGTTTTAATTTCCATCGCTGGGATCTGATTTCCAGAACACTGGAAATTATTCCCTATTCTCACCTTCCTCCCTATTCCCCAAAAAGATTTTTAATAAATAGTAATTAAAAGCAAAAAAAAAAAAAAAAAAAAAAAAAAAAAAAAAAAAAAAAAAAGGTTGTGAAATGCCTCTCCGGGGAAAAAAAAATTAAAATTGAAAAAAGAAATAAAGTTGATTAAATCCCAAGCTCTGTGTCTGTAATTGCTGTGGTGCAACGCTGATAACACGTAGTTATCATCGGAAAAGTTGACCAAGACAGGTTAAATAATTTAATAAGGAACTGCTTGTAATTATGTTATTTACAAGGTATGACAGAGGTTTGAGGAAGAAACAGAAGCTGATCTCAGGGAAATGGACGGGTTTGGGTGACCCCTGGAGCATGGAGTTTGAATTATGGAGATGGGGGGCTGAGAGGTGAATATGGACTAGAGGAGAACAAGATGACTTTTCACCTCAGCACATTTAACTTTTAAATCCAAATAAACGTCTCGCGTTACTGGATGGTCGCGTTATAAAAGAAAAAGGACTAATCCCGGCCAGTTTYGGAGTGTGGGGAAGGGGGCTGCCCTTTCCTCAGCGAGGAAAAATATCGCCAAAAAAAAAGTTACAGAGGGGGAAAAGTGCATTTAAAAATAAATCTGGATAACTCGCTGGGATTTTTTTTCCTCTTTCCTCTCTCCCTCGCTAAATTAATTATATCAAACATCTGTTCCCATGACGTTGTCCTCGATGCCACACACACCACTGAATGATCTCAACGCTGCCTCGACGAGCAACAMCACACCTTTTTCACTTTCCCAAATATCCTCCGGTAATCGGGATCTCAATTAGCAGCTACCTGATTTACTCGCTCAGGTAAAATAAAAGAACCGCTTTGCTCACCCCCCAAGCAAGGGGCAAAATACAAACTCAGGAACTCGCGTGGTAAGAAAAGCGTAAACTTTCTCACCTGTTTGGTCATGGAGTCTATTAGCCGAACGTACAGGTCCTGCTCTGTCCTAACTCCTGCGGAGGGAAAGCAGACACAAATTCCGATCAGGATTTCGGTAGCGAACCACCCCAATCCCACAAGGAAAGGATGAGGTCAGGCAATTAACCGCAGCGGGCAGGGATCGGCCCCGCGCCGGCTTCAGAGGAAAATTCAAAATTCAAAAAAAAAAAAAAAAATCATCGTAATAAAAATTAGCCAGGAATCAGGCGGTGACAGAACTGTGCTCCGCTGCTGATTCCGGAGCTCGGGGGCCGTGGCCGAGCCAGCCCCCCCCGGCCGGGCTCGCTGTGGCCCCACGGCCCCGGGGAACACGCGGGACCCCGGGCGCTGGTGCTGAGCGGCCCCCGCGGGTTTTCCGCGCCCGAGGAAGCCGCTCCGCCGGGCCGGGGCTCCTCTCTGCCCACTCACCCCATCCCAATAATTACCATCAATTCCCAAAACTGAAAAAAAAAAAAAGTCCCTTAAAAGTGCCGCTGTGCCCGAGCAGCCATCGATCCCCTTTTTTACTTTCCACTTCAAGCCCAACCGGTTAATCATGTGAAGTACCATTGACTTATCGATCCTTTATGTTTTGTTTTCCTTATATGCCAAGGAAAGAGCCGTGTTTACACGCGTGTAATTTTAATCTCGAAATCTTTATATCCTTTATCCCCCTCCTCCCCCAGAAAAAGGCCTCGGAAGGAAAATCAGACTTTTCTGCTGCACACGGACGCTCAAAAAGGAGAGAACGACAACTTACCATTGCTATACAATAACTGAAGTTTATAATGAATCCCATTGTTAGTTTTTTCATTGTTTGGCTCCTGCAAGTAACGATAAATAATAACATTTAGCATGAAAAATATCGCCCTCCTCCTGATGCCCATTTTTCTCGTCCCTGAAGCAGCTCGGAATTAACAGTTTGCAGAAATTCAGCCCACGGTCACT